TTTTTTTTTTTTTTTTTTTTTCTGCTATTTTTTCTTGCTTATATTCACTGTCTAGTATTCTTTTTGACAGTGCAAAAAAGTCGAGTTTATCTTGTTTGTAAGATTTAGTTAATGTTAAAGAATAGTAAAAGAGTACTCTACACATTTTTTTTTTTTCACACAAGAAAGGGAAAAGAGAAGAAGTGAGAGAGACAAATAAATGTAAAATAGTTGGTAACCATTGGAAAATGAAAATAAAAACTGTCAGATTAAATTATTGTAAGCGGCTGTAGTGTTATTTGTTTCCTTTTTTTTTCTGCTTTTATCATATGTACATTTTGCCAGGCTGTTGGTGAAAGAGCGTTCCCAAGACATTTTCATTATGGTGGAGGTTACCAGGGCTTCTGTGAACCATGGTTGGAACCACGTCCAAAAACTGCAACATCAATTGATATGGAAAAAATTCAATTAGGTGGCTGTGCACAGAACGACAATGGAGATCGGATGAGCGAGATAACACCACGCGTTACGGAAACCAAGAATCTGCCGAACGGTCTAACTAACAAAGTTTGAAACTTGCTTTTAGTTTTTTTTACTACTTAATAAATGTCATCGGCTGGTGTCTTCTAAAGTTTTAAAGTTCTGGCTAACATCATTTTCTTTTGGAACATATTTATGCATCGTTTATCCTCAACAAGTCACCATAGTAGTTTGACTGAATTTCGTTGAGACATCTCGTATGGAGGAAAGTTTTAAGACACTGAAATATTGTTGGCATCTTTTTTTTTCTTCTGCTATTAGCTCAATTTTTTTCACAATCTGTAAAATTTATTGAAAATTTCGGTGACGCTTAGGAACGTTGCATGCTTCCTTATCGCCATTTGCTTCTTGACTGGTGCAATAGCGAACTACCATTTCCTGTTCCTTATAAGTGTTCACTGATTACCGATTTAATATGATCCCAACGGTTAACGCTATTATGAGTGCTGTGAAACAAGAACATTACAGTCTATTAGTATACCGTCTTTTAGTTGCAAAGAGCAGTAATCTAAATAATTTTGGTTGTTAGGAAATTATGGGAATCAAATAACTTATTTTTTGAAGAGAACATTGTAATGACATAAAGAAAAAAATGAAAATTAGTAGTCTGTAATGAAAAGTTATTCACTTTTGTGCCTCAGAGATTGCCTATTTGATCTTCTGCTTTATTTTTACCTCTGTATAACGTTAGTGTTAATATTCATATTATATTGTATGTTTATATTATTTGCCTACGTACGAGGTTGCGTATATTTCAGAGGTTGGAGTCCGTGAAATTGCTCTTCGAAGACCTTCCATATGCCGATTCGTAAAAAATTATTTTTGATACATGTTCTTAGTTAAATAATTTTGTTAGACGTCTTACTTTGCCTCAAATTTATACGTTTGCACTCCAGTTCTTTTCTTTTTATTTTTTTTCGTCTCGGTTTAGTTCGAAATTTCTGATAGATGATTTTAAGAAGAGATGAACGTAAACTGATTGTGTAGAAAAAAATTTTTTTTGTTAGTTTAAAAGAATGATATCTGAACTACATAGGGAATAAGTTAGTTTTGGCTTGTTGGCTGAAGCGGATAAAAAAGATCAACAAAGTGAAACTTATGTTGTTGTTAATCAATGTTCTGCGGGTTTCGAAGGTGCCTTTGATGTATCGGTACATATGCAGGCTTTCTGTTGACTGTTTGGTACTGATTACCAGGTAACAAACGGATCTGCATAAATGGAATGCTGATCTTTCGTTGTTTTGTTCTGTTTCTTTTTTTTTTTTATTTTCAGGCTCCGATCTCATCTTCAGTCCTCTTTTAAACATTTTTATTTTTGTGTTAATAAACGCTGAGCTTTGTCTAAATTCGGTTTAACTCTTATTTAGTGGTTCTTCTGTCAGGAGAGGAACCCTGATAAGCTGCCTTTTCGTTTCATTCAGTGGACTAATTTATGTTTTGTGCTGTTGAAATGGTTGAATAGATTCTTATATGGAAAATTTGTTATACATTTGCTTTGTCGCACAATTATTGTCAAGAAAAGCTTTTTTATTTGGAATCATTCTTTTGTATATTTTAGCTTCAAATTGAAAAATGATCGTGTTCACTTATTCTCACACCGAATAAAGGAAATTAACGGTACTGTTTGCCGTCAGGTGTTAAACTCTTGTTATCAGAATTCTTTTCAGTGTTTACATTTTGTGATGATACCATGACAGAGTTCTTGAAAGGATGAATTAAAATGTATAAATATAACTTGGTTTACTTAGTTTTATTTGGGATTTATCAGTAATCAAAAATGGAAACATGGTCGTATACCTGTTTAACTGCATGGATATTCTCAGTCGTTTAAACGGCTTTTGTTAGGAATCTGTCACCTTGTTGTGGGTAAAAAGTAGGGAAACGTTGGCTACTTTTAAAGTTTATTAAAGTTCATGAAAATGGTTGGGAATGTGTTGACAATTGTTAGTGAAGCTGTTAGTAAGTGAAACGTTGGAGGTACTGATTTGTTTTTGGTTAAACTTTTCAGACATTATACTTGGTTACCAAAATGAAATTGGAACAATTTTACTATTAGTCATACATTTGGCCAAATTGAAGATGGCAGAGTAAAAGTTCTATGAGCTGCAAAGAAGTGTGTAACTAAAGGCGATGGACAAACAGTGCAATCAGTGATTCACATAGAAAAGGCATTTTTCAATGGAATTATTAATTTTGATGCCAATACATTGGGAATTTGTATAAAATAACGGGCACTAATTGTGTATCAAAAAAAAAGTATCAGATTTTGATAGCCTTATTTTGTGACGGTCGATGTAACGGCTTGTTAGTGATTAAATTAGCTGCTTCTGGTCTACCATTAAAGGTTCCTTTTTACTCATTTTGTCTCTCAGAATACCTGCAGTCAACGCACTTGTACATACAAATAAAGGTTTGATAAACAGCCGCAATTTGATGCACGACAAACATCAAATAATTAAGTAATATAATACTTTTATATAAAATGAGTTAGGGTGAAAAAAAATCTAAAAAAAAAATTTTTTGTTCTTGACGTAGTTCAATGACAAGGTCTAATTAGGTCAACACAGTGTTGCTTGTGTAACTTTAGTACTTTCGTTATCACTGTTTATAAATCCCACAGGAAAGATCTATCACCTCTGTGCTGCTACTGTATCCCTTGTTCCATAAGGGACATGTATAAATTTATTATGCCTACCATGCTTTTCATGATTTGGTAAATTTCACCCTGTTATCAACAAATGCTTCAGTCTATAATAACACCAATTAGTAATCGCCATTTATAGAACAGTAGGTGTCGTACTGGGCAAGTATTTTTGCTAAAAGTGTAAACAATAATTACGTCATCAGGTGGCCAGAGACAAATGATATTGCAAAAAACATAGTTATAAATATCTTTAGGAGATTCTGAAATGGTAACTTCGCAGACAGTAATTTTTATTGTTAAAATTCTTTCCGTTTAGAATCTGCTCTTCTGGACAAATAAAGCAAGCGATGGGAACGCAGACGTTATACGGCTCCGTACAAATTTACTAAAACTTTCGGTCTTGCTGCGTTAGATCACACTGTTAGCTTCTGAGCTACAGAAAGAGTTTAAAGCAAGACTATTATAAGACGCCAAAAATGGCATAGCTAGCTTATGTATACACATCGTCCACAAAAAAAGTAGACTAAAAGTAACGACTTAACGTTTAATGAAACTTTAACAACAGCTTATGGCTAAGGGCTTTAGTACACTAAAGAACAAATTTGTCACAAAGTGGAACTTCCAGTTATTAAATGAGGTCCCATTATGCTGTATACCAAGTGTTTGAACAATAAAAAGTATTTAAAAAAACTTCGTTTCTGATAAGAATTTAACAATTTTTTTTCAAAACAAATAAAATAAGACTTTTTTAAAATTTATTTTCAAATATTAGATATTAAAAGCAAATAAATATATCAGTGGAAAGTATCAGTGGAAACAACTTACAAATTTTTTCTGTTGAAGAAAACTGCAGGAAGTTCAATTTGAACGATAGAAAAGAATTTTTCGTAAAGAATTAATCAGATTTAAGATAAAAATTTATTGGTGAATTTTTACCAAACTTTCCTTCCATCTCTCTCCCCTGTTCTCCAAAGTACATTAACTTTTTGAAGAAAAAAGCGGAAAAGAACGTCAACGATCAAAGGCAAGAGCGGCGTCAGTATTCTGTGAAACCAAAATGTCATAGTTTCTAGGCAGCTTAAATACCGACTTGTTGGACTGTCTTTAAACAACTCGTGAAAGTAGAAGAGTTCGAAAATACAAGATGGCTTTGCTGTTGTCATACATAATTGCTTATTACTGTTATAAGCGACAAATTTTCTAAGCAAAAGAAATGTCGCGACAGCACCCGAAAGGCCACCGCAAGCACTGTAGTGGCCTCTGAATTACCCAAGAAGCAGAACTTTCGGAGGGTAGACAGTTGGTTACTATTATCTTGAAGAGCATTTAAGCAAAGGTAACTTTCAGTAATTGAGTTTTCTACTGAACCAAGCTTTGGAGCTGTTGGATTGTGCTATCTTCTGCTTTATTAGCTTTGGTTAATTTTCATGTTCAGCTACACAGAGAACAAAGTCAGGTGTTTCAGGCGACAAAAAATACTCATTGTCTGATAATATTCCAACAAGCACCTACAGGAACCGGGAAGACGTTAACGGCCACTGCAGCGATTTGGCAGTGGTACTAAACAAGCCAATGGTGGGCGGAAATAATTTGGTAACAGCAACAACCTATTACGCGATACAAAACGTCGCCTGAGCGTTTCTGAAGTTTGTCAACAAACTGTCAACGGGAATAGTAATCCTTCTGCAACCATCAGCAGCAGAACTACAAACAACCACAGTAAGAGGCCAGGCCTGGTGCGACTGTCGATTACCAGAGCTACTAAAGAAGCTTTTAGGAAAAAAGAAGGACATACTGGACAAGGGATAAAGAGTTGCCATCGAAGGAAATGTAGCAAAAAGTTTGAGCTACAGCGAAGAAAGAAACTTCAACAAGCACTTTGCTTTTGAAAGGGTGCTCTTCTACTATAAACCAAAAATTATCTTCGGAACTATTGCCATGGTCACAAAGTTTGTTAATCATATAACTCAGACGGACTGCCGGGTTACTAAATTAATTATAGATGAGGCCAGTTTGCTTAACTTATCTTAACTTCCTAAGCCTCATTTTACAGTTCCCTGAACTAGACCAAGTATTCCTGACGGGAGATATTCGGTAGCTCCCTCCTTATTCTGGCATTCTGCCTGAATAAACCTTACAAATTGGGCATAATAGCTGTCTACAGAGTTTACTGTGCCGTAAGGCGAGTGTGGCTATTAATCTAAAAACATTCTATCGTTTACATCCTGTTCTGATCGACATTATTTCCAAAGTATTTTATATTTCTGAATTAAAATCTGCACTTACGGATGAGGATCGTGTGATGTGGGGGAGCATAGAATTTCCTTAACCGTACGACAAGACTCCAGTCTTATTTTAGACGTCCTTGGAGAAGAATGTAAAACTCCCT